GAGAGAGAGAGAGAGAGAGAGAGAGAGAGAGAGAGAGAGAGAGAGAGAGAGAGAGAGAGAGAGAGAGAGAGAGAGAGAGAGAGAGAGAGGGATAGATAGATAGGGATAAATAGACAGATAGCGTCTGTGACAGAGAGAAAGAGAGAGAGAGAGAGGGATATGTTACGAACGGAAGCCGGGTTAGAAGTTCCCACATTAGGAATGAATCGCATAAATCATAAATCGTGCGATGACACCGAGATCTTGTTAACAAACAAGTCAACCTCTATATCATCCCTTCATTCACCGAAACCGATCGCGAGAGAACGAACCATCGTGAAATTTAATTCGTAATTAATTGTCTCTCGTCTTCGATATATAGTCCCTTGGATTTTGAAGACTATTACTTGCGAGATTACGAGGTTACTACTAACAACAAGACATGCTTCAACATGCTTCAACATGTGCATGATTATAATGATGTTATATTAGATATATTATTCAAGTATTATATTTATATTATTTGTATATTCATTATATATATTTTTTATTATATTATATCGTTATATTGCGATGATTCAGGATGATTCGATCTCTCTTGTTAACATGCATCGTAAATACACACCCGGGAAACGACGTGAGAGCGAGAGAGCCGTAACCATGACTACGATGACAACAACATGGCCGCCGTAGTCATCGTGACGGGACGCTCACCCACACGAGGTCTCGCGCCAACGCCAGCTGCTCCCTTGTTTATATTCTGATGGTCACCACAAACAAGTGAACATCGTTTGGCGCGAAACATGCAATTGGTAAATGGATGCAATTATATACGGATGGATAGCACCAGAGAGGGATGAAAAATTGTTAACACCCATTCGCCATATATTTGTCCAAACATGAAGGTAACCCGGCGGCCATATTTGTGCAAACAGGAAGTACATATATCGGCCATCTTTTCGACCCGTGGATCAGAACTCACCCGTCTGGCTTTCTGTTGGAATAAAACAATAGAACACAGCATTTACATAGACAAGTGGCGACACACGGTGGCACACAGCTTCACGGAGGCACGGGAGAAAACAAGTGAACATACCACATCGCCACGAGAATTACCTGTCGAGAAACCCCCTCGCCTGCCATCACCGCCATTTCTGCGACGTTGGCCATGTTTAATCGTTCATGCACAATCCCACAATGCACTCGAACAAGATTGACAATCAGAGCATGCACGAGTCGTGTCGCGCTCAGCGTCACTAATTAGTAATTAGAAATTAGCGTCATTATAACAAACGCGTGCCGGGAAACGAACAGCGAGAGTTATTATATAAATATGCGAGAAGGATTAAGTGCAAATTGTGAAGGACGTAAGTTAGAATCGTAGATAAACTTTAATTAGCGATCGCGAGCGGAATTCCAAATTTTTAATTCTACATGCGACTCTGCCTGAGAGAGGCGTGAGTGTGAAGCATGCCTAGCATGATCGATCAATCAATCAATCAATCAATCAATCAATCAATCAATCGATCCGATCAATCAGTAATCGTGTAATCAATACTGACGTGCGGTGGCATCATAAACGAGGCGCGGTGCGTGCGAGCAATCAAGAACTCTGAGAGCCGTTCCAAAGCAAGACATCGCGAATTCCAAGGTCGCCGGGATCGCCAAGGTCGTGGCGATGTCGGACACACACAGAGGTCGCCACCAGCGTTTTATTGTGAAAAATATTTCGTTTGTTTGTCATAAATTGCAGAATTACAGATCGTCGTTATTTGGATGAGAATTTGGATGAGAATTTCGTCTCGACCGAAATTAACGAACAAAAAAAACGTGAAATTAATGACAAAATAATAATGATTAAATTTGCACGAATCATACGAATTTGTCGCACGAAAGATATTTGTCTTTGCTGGAACTGTGATTTTGTTTGGAAGAGCTCTCGGACTTCTACTGTGTGGTGTTGAAGTGAATGCGTCTGCTGTGTGCTGTGTGAAACTACATAACGCATGTCTGTGCAAAGAGAGAGGGAGAGAGAGACAGGGGGAAAGAAAGGGAGAGAGAGACAGCGGGGAAGAGAGGGAGAGAGAGAGAGAAGTAGAGAGAGAGAGAGAGAAGAGAGAGAGAGAGAGAGAGAGAGAGAGAGAGATAAGAGAGGAGGGAGGGAGGGAGAGAAGAATTCATATTTATATATAATATGTATGTATAAAGTATGTATGTATGTATGTATGTATGTATGTATGTATGTATGTATGTAAGTACAAGATGGGCAGAGAGTGAGTGTGTGACTCTTTCCCTGCGTATGTAGAACACGAACGCAGTCGCGTTACCACGGCGCCGGGAGCGTTTCCACGGCAACAGATGCGAGTAGCAGCCTCCTCCTCGCTTGTTGTTTCAGCGAACGAGACGCGATGTTGATGCTGTCTCAGATTCCGCGGCCGATGTTTGTTTATTGTTTCTGCGGTTGTTTAGTCGGGTATCGACGAAGTAAAGGATTCTCGGGTTTTCGCAGGAATTTCTGGATACGTTTCTTTTCCCACAATTTTTTCTTAGTTACTCGTTTTTTCTTGCGGGCCGGCGATTTTCTCGCGGCACGCTGACCCCGAGCTCGATTGACTGCCTCTAAAGCAACGTATATTCATAATAGTTATACCTCAGTATGCTACACTGTCACCTCCACTAATGATATGCTAGTACGTATGTACATGTATATAATATATGCACTAGTACGTATGTACATGTATATAATATAGCACTAGTACGTATGTACATGTATATACCATATATCACTGTATCGGTATGTTCGCTAATGTATACTAATATATGGCAGATAGTAGGTATGTACATGTATATATATATATGCAGCTAGTACGTTATGTACATGTATACTAATATTATGCACTAGTACGTAATGTGACATGTTATGTGAATATAACTGCAGCTAGATACGTATGTCTACATTGTCTATAATAGTGACTGCACTAGTACGTTGTCATGTATAACTTAATATATCGCACTAGTACGTATGTACATGTATCGTAATATATGTAGTCTGTATGTACAGTGTATATAATATATGCACTAGTAACACGTATGTCATGTTATTATAATATACTGCAGGTAGTACGTATGTACATGTATACTAATATATGACACTAGTACGTATGTAGCATGTATTATATATAGTGCACTAGTCTGTATGTACATGTATATAATATATGCACTAGTACGTATGTACATGTATATAATATATGCACTAGTACGTATGTACATGTATATAATATATGCACTAGTACGTATGCACATGTAATATGTATGATATGTACACTCTGTATGTACATGTTGTGTGTAATCTGGTGTGGTGTCGTATTATATATATTATATTATATTACGTATAGTATTATATTTATGATTATTACGCTCCATATAGTTACTTGTCCCCATGTAAGTGACAGTCGCTCAGTTAATCAGACTGCCACCTCTTTGGATGCTATGATATAGATCTTCTCGATTCCTAATATTATACTGCTTATTGCTCTCGAGTCGCCTCGTCTATCGTGCGTCTGCTCAAGGTTTGTGAGTATGTGCGTGTGTGTGCCTGTGTCGTGGTGTGCGCCGTGCGTGCGTTTGGTGTGTGTGTGTGTGGTGGTCGTGCATGCGTGGTGTGTCGTGGCTCGTCGTGCCGTGCCACGCACGAGAGTGTGTGTGTGGTGTCTGGTGTTTCCTGCTGCCTGCTGCGCTGCCGCCTGCCCTGCATGCCCCTGCCTCGCCTCGCCCGCCCCGCCGTGCCTGCTGGCACGCGCCCCCCCGCCCCCCTAGCGCCTGCCTGGCCTGGCTTGACCTGCTTGGCCTGCCTACCTGCCTGGGCTGGCTTGCCTGCCTGCCTGCTGCCTGCCTTTGACCGCCCGCCTGCCTGCGCCGGCCCGACCCGCAGGCTGACTTACCCGCCCTGCGCTGCATGCCTGCCGCCTGCGCTGCCTGGCTGCCTGCATGCCCCGCCTGCCTGACCCTGTGCCACGCGCCTGCGCTGTCTGCCTGCCTGCATGCCTGCCTGCCTGCCTGCCCGCTTCCCTCTCTGCCTCCCTGTATGTTTGCCTGTCTGCCTGCCTGCCTGCCCGCCTGCCTACCTGCCTGCCTGCCTGCCTGCCTGCCTGCCTGCCTGCCTCCTACCTGCCCGCCTGCCTACATGCCCGCCTGCCCGCCTGCCTACCCGCCTGCCTGCCTGCCTGCCTGCCTGTCTGTCAGTGCTAGCGCGGTGTCTGCGGGTGTACGAACCTGGGTACGGTGGAATCCCCACGCGCCGCGGTTGTCGTGTCCAGCTCAAAGATGGAGGCAATGTCGTTGCCGTAGGGGATCGGCACGAGGCTGTAGACTGACGCCTCCAGCCCACCTCTCAGCTTCTCCCTCATCATGTCCTTGGTGTCGTCCTCGTCGACCTGAGATGAGCGGCAGTCTATGTCGAGATGTTTGTACACACACACGCACTGCACGCCCAAAATACACACACACACACACGCGTACGCACGCACGCAACGCAGGATGCCCAGGGGGGGGGGGGGGGGGCGCCCACACACACACACACACAACCCACAACACACAACACATCCACACACAACACACTACACACACACACACACACACACACAACAACACTCTCTCTCTCTCTCTCTCTCTCTCTCTCTTCTCTCTCTGCTCATACACACGCCACACACACACCACTCTCTCTCTCTCTCGCTCTCTCTCTCTCTCACACACACGCACACACCACCACGCGCACGCCACAGCACGCACACACACACACTCGCGCACCACACACGCACACCACGCGCACTATGCACGCGCACGCACATCCACCACACACACACACGCACGCACACGCCAACACACACGCCACACACACACACACACACGCACTGCACGCCGCAGCGACTTGAACCCCGGTACTCTCCGCCAGCCGATGTTAGTAACCGGACTGCTAGATGCACACTACGCACACACATTGCACACGAACACACACGCACGCACACACACGCACGCACACACACCACACACACACGCCACGCCTAACACACGACGCACACGCACGCACACTTATGCCCACACACACGCCACACACACACGCACGCACACACACAGCAGGACTTGAACCCCGTACCTCGCAGCGATGTAGTAAACCTGGACGCTAGATCACACACGCACAGCACACGCTACGCCACACAGCCGCACACATGCACACGCACACGCACACGCACACACGCCACACAGCAGACTTTTGAACCCCGTACCTCGGCCCGCGATGTTAGTACCGCGACGCTAAGATGCACACACCGCACACACACACGCACGCCACACACACAGCCAGGACTTGAACCCCGATACCTCCGGCAGCGATGTAGTACCGGACGCTAAGGATGCTTGAAGCGAGAGACTGTTCCAATGTCCTGCTACCGGCGCGACACGGATCGTCCTGCACCACCTGTTTGCATTTACAGCTATCATTCAACATCATTACAGACACCACACACTAGTCAGACACGTTAAATAAACATCATTTACAGACTACATTACAGACACCATTCACACAGTCAGACACTATTAATCATCATTACAGACACCATACAGACACCATCCACAAAGTCAGGACACTTATAACATCATTACAGGACACCAATTACAGCACACCATCACAACAGTCAGACACTATAACATTCCATTACAGACACATTTACAGGACACCATCACCACAGTCAGACACTATAACATCATTACAGAACCACCATTACAGACCCATCTACACAGTCATGACATTATAACATCATTACAGACACCATTTACAGACACCATCACATCTTATTTACCACATTACAAACACCACTCGACACAGTCAGACACTAATAACAGATCAGTGTGACAACAACAAGAGATGGTAGAAATAACACAACCACACACACCGACAAAGAAACAGATTGCAAACCAGCCAACTGAATAAACACACAAAGGTAACTAGACACACGCGTACCACACGCGTTAACACCACCTCGCATCGCGCGCTCATACCTCGACCTCCCACATGGCCTTGCTGCTGGTGGACTGCAGGCGCGGTTACCACGGTAACAGACACCACGCGTAACCACGGTAACAGACACCGCATCGCGCGCTCATACCTCGACCTCCCACATGGCTTTGCTGCTGGTGGCGGCGGTGGCGGATGTGCGGCCGGTCGTGCGTAGAAACAGGTATTGCTTCTTCTTGTATTCGTCCATCGTGAGAAACTTCTCCTGCTCGGCGTGAAACAGACGCACGACGTCGCCCTGCGGGGACACGTGGCGCCATCGAGCGGCGAAGACGTAAGTTAAAATGGGATAAAACAAATTTTTTTTATACGTCAGCAGATAACAGAGAATGCTTCCTTGAACAGATAACGGAAAGTTGTGCCTCTTAGAACGATGAGAAAAAAAAAAAAAATTTTTTTTTGGGTTACCGTCGGTTAAAAAAAGGGGGAAAAAAAAAAAAAAAAACAAAAAAAAAAAGGGGGAAAAAAACAAAAGAACGCTTACCCCTTTCAGGATGTCCTCTCTGTTTTCGCTGTGCTCCAGGAAGAGGGAGATTTTCCAACATGTGTTGCAATTAACAGCATTTACCTGTAAACAACAAATAAATAATAATGTTTACCTGTAAACATCAAACAACTAAGAGCATTTACATGTAGATGATAAACAAATAACAGCATTTACCTGTGAGCACCCAACACCTAACGTTTACCTGAAAACAACAAACAATTCCACCAGTGCCATCCCAAACTAACCCTCACACACACACACACACACGCACGCACACACGCACGCACGCACGACCGCAGCGCCCCCTGCTGGCTCACCTCCTTGCATCCTGGGTTGTCTACGAGGTCGTAGTTACTCGCATGTAGCGGCTGTCCCGCGTTGACTGGCTTCAACACGACCCGGTCGCCGCACACCACCTACAAACAAGAGAACGTGCGACGCGGTTACACCATCGCCGTGGCGACACGGACCAAACATGTTGGGTTCATAACTAAGAAATTATCTATCTGACTTTGACCCTGGTAGGGGTGAACTCACATCAGGTGAGGTCAGATAGGGGCAGGTAAGGTCAGATAGGGTCAGGCAAGGTCAGATAGGGTCAGGCAAGATCAGATAGGATCAGGCAAGGTCAGATAGGGTCAGGTGAGGTCAGATAGGGTCAGGTAAAGTCAGATAGGGTCAGGTGAGGTCAGATCGGGTCAGGTGAGGTCAGATAGGGTCAGGTGAGGTCAGATAGGGTCAGGTGAGGTCAGATAGGGTCAGGTGAGGTCAGATCAGGTCAGATCAGGTCAGGTTGTGAGGTCACATTGGCTCCGTCAAGACAGATTAAGTTACGCCGCGTTCCGAGAAAGCCTAATTATTAATAATAATAA